GAGGGTATGACCATCTTTGTGTGTGGCTGAGATGGGGTGGAGTGGCTCCTGAAAGGAGAGCAGGTTGAGGAAATAAGTGGTTCAAGTATTTGAGGGAGAATCAATATATATGCTGATGTCCCCTAGTATGAAGGTAGCAGTTGTGGAGGAGAGAAAAATTGTAAGCCAGGTATCAAACTCATTGAGGAGTACATGTATCTTCCTGACTAGAATAGGAGCTTCCTGAGGACAAGGAGGCTCCTTTTTTGTCTTTCTAACCCTAGTACCTAGCACAGGACTGTGCTATTTACTTAATAAATGTTAGCTGAATTGAATTGGCTGAATTTCCCCAACAGCTCCAATGGGATTACCAACCACCACAGTGCAAACACCGGCAGCAATCACAGAACCTTTGGTAAGGCTATATGGCAGACTATATTCCAGCATTGTGCCTGCCTAGCTTCAGGACCCCAAAATCATTCATCAAGCTTAGAAGCAGTAACCTGAGCAGCCATTTTTTCAGAGGCTGAAAAACACAAAAGCTAAGTGTCAAGGGATGAATGATCCCTTTCTTAGGGCATGGTGATAGAAAGGTAAAGGGTTACTTTGAGTTATTGCTTCCCACAGCAGTTTCCTCTCTAGGGTACAAGGATTTCATAGGTAGAGTTGAGGTCTGTTGGTCAACTTGTCCCTCTTTCCCTCACCAAAAGTGCTCAAATCTAAAACTTGATTATAAATTATATTATTATAATTATAAATATTACCTTTCAGTCACTTCCAAATTATTTCTGCTCTGTTTCTACAAAGCATAGCCTAGCTTAGGTGGGTAGAATGAAATAAGGAAATAAAGTCAGAAAGACCAAGTCTCAGTACCGGCTGTACCCAGTGTGTGATCCCTTGGATAGCTGGCTTGAGTTTCACCATCTTTAAAATGAGGGAATTAGTGATCGGTTCAAATGATCAAGAAGCTTCCTTACAGCTCTGACCTTCTGAGTTCTATGTTCTAAGGCCTATTTAAACTCTGGCAATATGTTCCAGGGTTCCTTCCTTGGAGAACTATGTGGGTTCTCACATTGTATGTTCCGAGGTCTCTTCTTGCTCCGACATTTTATGTTCTAAGAGTGTTTCTTCCTATTCCCCTTCAAGCTCTAACAGTTCTGTGATTGAACTCTGCAACCCATTAAAACATAATTGGCTTCAAACAAAGAACAATTCTTGTCATGGGGGAAAGAGGAGGTCATTTCAAGCCCCTCGTTGCCGAACTTCCAGCCAATCCTACCGTTCCCCGTGTGTCAGTTATGGAGCCGATCACATTGTCCTCAACCCCCAGATGCCACCTACTCCATCCTGTTCTTTGTTCTGTCCTCCCCAAAATCTATAAAAGAAAAGCTCTCCTGTTGCTTGGGGTCTTTGGCTACAAACTGAGGTAGCCATTGACTCATTCTACTCTCAGATTCATGCCTGATAATAAATTATCTTGCTCAGAGAAATGTGCTCAGTTTGTCCTTTTGTTAAATTTCACTTGCTAGGCTGATCCCATTTGTGGTTTTCTTAGCAAAGATACTGGAGTGGTTTGCCATTTCCTTCTCCAGTTCATTTTATAGATGAGGAACTGAGGCAGGGTTAAGTGACTTGCCCAGGGTCACACAGCTAGTAAGTACCTGAGGCTGGATTTGAACTTAGGAAGATCTGAACTCAGGAAGATGAGTATTTCTGACTCCAGGGCCCGTGCTGTATCCATTGAGCCACCTAGTTCCCTCATTACCTGTATGGCCTTGGCCAAGTTCCTTTCCCTCAGCAAGGTAGACAAGTGTATATAGGGCTAGGCCTGGAGTCACAAAGACCTCAGTTCAAATTTGGCCTCAAACACCAACTAGTTTAGTAATCTTGGACAAGACATAACCTTGGCCTCAATTTCTTCATCTGTAAAGTAGGGATAATAATAAGCACCTACCCCACAGGGTTGCTGTGAAGACCAAATTTGTAAAGCACTTAGCACAGTGCCTAGCACATAGCAGGTGCTTAATAAATGCTTATTTCTTTCCTTCCTTCCTTACTTCTCTAGGCCCCCTTCTGTAAAGTGAGGAGATTGCAGTAAGCTTTCAGGTCCTCCTAGTTCTAAGTCCTACCATCCTGAGTTGGAGACAGTGGCTACAATAAATACTATGCCAGAAACTGTTCTCCCTTTGCTTACTTTTCCCCCTTCCCATTGCCAATAATCTTCATAATCATTCATTCAACAAACATTCCCAACTAATATCTATCTTGTCCAAAGAACTGAACTAGAGGTATGATAAGGTGAAAAAAAATATCTAAAATGGGTTTTTGCTCCCAAGGAGTTTATGATAAACATGTGTACAGATAACCATAATACAAGTCAGTGTTCACTAAGTGTTATTTGAGTAGTATTCCCAGATACGAGGCATCAAAGTTGGGAAAAATCGAAGTAATATAAAGTCATGGGGATAAAAGGTACTTAGGCTTGTCCTGTCAGGTATGGATCTGTTTCTTCCCCCTTCCTCAAGAGATACAAAGAGTTCAGAGGAAGAGGGCACTTTGAAGCAGAAGAATCCAGGAATTCGGGGCAGGTAGGTGGTGCAGTGGATACAGCACCGGCCCTTAAGTCAGGAGGACCTGAGTTCAAATCTGGCCTCATACCAAACACTTGACACGTACTAGCGCTGTGACCTTGGGCAAGTCACTTAACCCCAATTACCTCACAAAAAAAAAAAAATCCTGGAATGCTATGGGGAAGAAGGATCAATTGGCCCTGACCCTTGGGTAGAACTGTTATAAAATTTAGAGCTAGAAGGTACCCTAAAGACCCTCTAATCCAACACCTTCCTTTTACAGATGAGCAAACTGAGGTCTGGAAAGATGACAGGACTTGACCAAGGTCACACAAGTAGTAAGCATTGAGATTCTAACCTAGGTCCACTTGTCTCCATATCCAGTGCTTCCTCTGTGATACCATGTCAACAGAAAGATGGAATAACAGAAGCAAAAGCATAGAGGTGAAGACTGAGGAGCATTTTTACAGAAAAGTGAGTAGGGAAGTTTGGTCAGAGCACAGGGTGGTTTAGAAAAGTAGTAGGAGAAAAGACTAGAATGTTTGGACCAGATCAAGTAGGCCCTTGAATGCCAGGCTAAAGATCTTGGACTTTACATTCCCCAGTTGATAAATGGTCAAAGGATATGAACAGGCAGTTCTCAGATGAAGAAATTAAAGCCATCTATAGTTATATGAAAAAAATGCTCTAAATCACTATTGATTAGGGAAATGCGAATCAAAACAACTCTGAGGTACCACATCACACCTGTCAGATTGGCCAACATGACAAAACAGGAAAATGATAAATGTTGGAGAAGATGTGGGAAAATTGGAACACTAATGCATTGTTGGTAGAATTGTGAAATGATCCAACCATTTTGGAGAGCAATTTAGAACTATGCCCAAAGGGCTATAAAAATGTGCATATCCTTTGACCCAGCAATGGCACTTCTAGAGCTGTATCCCAAAGAGATCATACAAATGGGAAAAGGACCCACATGTACAAAAATATAGCAGCTCTTTTTGTGGTGGCAAAGAATTGGAAATTGAGGGAATGCCCATCAATTGGGGAATGGCTGAACAAGTTGTGGTATATGAATGTAATGGAATACTATTGTGCTATAAGAAGTGATGAGCAGGCAGACTTCAGGAAAACCTGGAAAGACTTCTATGGTTTGATGCTGCGTGAAACGAGCAGACCCAGGAGAATGTTGTACACAGTAATAGCCATGTTGTACAATGTCTAACGTTGATAGACTTTAGACCTTCTCAGCAATGCAAGGATCTAAGACATCTCCAAAGGTCTCATGATGGAAAATACTATCCACATCCAAAGAAAGAACTATGGAGTTTAAATGCAGATCGAAGCATACTATTTGCTATTTTTTTTCTTCTGTTTTTTTTGTTTTGTTTCCTCTTTCTTGTGGTTCTTTCTATAGGTTCTAATTCTTCCTTACAACATCACTAATGTAAAAATGTTTAATAGGAATGTATATGTATAGCCTATATCACATTGTGTGCCATCTTGGGGAAGGAGGGAGGGAGGTAGGGAGGGAAGGAGAGAAAAATTTTAAACTCAAAAGCTTATGGAAGTGATTGTTGATAAATAAAAATAAACTAAGAAAAGAAAAAAAAAGATTTTGGATTTTAGACAAGAGGAAGCCATTGGAGGTCTTTGAATAGCAAAATGACATGATGGGAGTTATTTTTGTTAAGACTGATCTGAAAATGTATGCAGAATAGATTACAGGGAAAGAAATTGGAGGCAGTACCTTAGGCAAGAAGTAGGAAGGCCTGGACTGGGTTGGTTTCAGTAGACCAGAAAAGAGAGATCTAGATGCAAGAAACATTATGATTTGGTGATTTACATGAGGATAAGAAAAAAGGAGTCAAAAATGCCCAAAAGATTTCTTTGAGGGCAGGTTTTAGAGAATTTTGGTAGTATGTATACAGTTATTGGCTGAGATGACTCCTCTATCTTTGAAATTCTAAGTTGCTGTAATTAAAAGGGGAAAAAAAGAGAGATTATAGTACAGTGGCTAAAGAACCAGTCCTGAAATCAGGAAGATCTAGGTTCAAGTCCTGCCCTGGTTGACCCCTACATACTGGTTGGCAGGTCACTTAACATTTTTCTTTAAAAAAAAATTATTGTTGTCCTTAGTGCCATCTTGTTGACTTCCATTGCGCCATGAGAGCCAAGTGGAAGAAGAAGCCAATGCATAGGCTGAAATGCAAGAGGAGAAAGATGAGGCAGAGGTCCAAGTAACTAGATTGTGCTGACCATGGAGGTCACAGGCACAGAGATGGAATGACCTTGGTGACATTCTCAGGAAGGCAGAAACCTTTGGGAGACATCACCCCACCCTATGAAGGACTCTACTAGCTCTACCATCTGATAAGAACCCTTACCACCATCTGACTACCTCCCTGACAAAAAGACATGCCATTATTTAATGCAAATTCCACCTACCTGCCTCTTGACTTTGTGCCATGGGACTTTTGTCATTCCGGACTGATTGTTTTCTTTGTGGCTTACACAGGCGATAACACACCTATATAATAAATAATATATATATATATAATAAATCCTCACTACTTTCTTGTTTGAAAAAAAATTATTGATTTTGTTAAATATTTCCCGATTACATGTAAACAAACTTTAACATTCATTCTTTAAAATTTTGAATTCCAAATTCTTTCTCTCCCTCCCCTCCCTTTGCCCATTGAGAAGGCAAGCAATATGATATGGATTATGCATGTGAAGTCATGCAAAATGTTTCCATATTAGCCATGTTGCAAAAGAAAATATACCAAAAATCAAGAAAAATAAAGAAAGTTTTAAAAGTAGGCTTTAATCTGCACTTAGAGTTCATCAGCTCTCTCTCTGGAAGGGGATAGCATTTTTCATCATTGCTCCCTTGGAATTGCCTTGAATCATTGTCTTGATCAGAGTATCATTTAATCTTTTAGGGTCCTAAGCAACTTTTTAAGATTTTAAATTGCAGAAATGGTTATCTGTGTTGGTAGAAGTTCCTCAGCTCCTATGAGAAAACAAGTCAGAAGTATATGGAGACGGTGAGGTGGAAATGATAGCCCATTTCATTTAACAGAAGCATTGAAGTCTTTACTTTAGTAGAAATGTTGATGGTCTACCATCTTCACAATTAATGTTTTCCTGTAAGATAAAGTTTTTTCCCAAGCAATAAATGAAAAACTTTCTGGCTGCCATTTTTCTAAGATGGCAGTCCAAACAGCATGTGAAAGGGTCAGGAGCAATTCTCATTTCATTAGGCTTCTGCCACAAAACTCCTTAGAAGGCAGGTAGTGAGAATGATATTATGCCCATTTTACAAAAGAGAAAATAATCTCAGAGAGGCTGTGCCCAGATCCACATAGCTGGTAATTACAAGGATCACAAGCCAAACCTCCTCACACATATTCAATGGCACCATGCTACCTTGCCCAGGATATCACACAAACCTAGTAAGTGAAGGAGCTGGGACAGAAACCCATCCATGTCTTCTAATTCCTTATAGGAGCTGAGGAACTTCTTCCCAATACAGACATGTAACATCTTTGCTCTTTCTTCTACCCTATGCTGACTTTTAGTTAACATTGTTCTCAGCATCTGCACCAATTTACAAATCCTTTCAGAATTATCTCCACTATTTACTAAAAATAAACCCTAAATGATAAAGCTGTATTCAGTGTGACTTTCTGGATTTTAGGGCACTTGGAGAAACAGGAAAGTAACCAAAAAAGAGCAAGAGAAAGTAGAAAAGTGATATAACAATGATACTATAAGGAGAGGTCAGCAAAGGGTGCTTAGTGAGAAATGAGAGACTTAGTAACTATTTTCCCATACAAGCATGTTATTGTTGGAACAGTTAGCCATATGAGGACCAGTTAATCTCTATGTCCACATAAGACCGTGGGTTTGTACTGTAACAAGGGTAAACTTGGTTGACTTCCCAAGTCAAAAGTGATGAAATACTACAACAGGTAAGAGAACATGGCACCTAGTTCTTTAGGGTTCTTAAAGAAAGGACAGATATCCATCTATCAGGCCTCTCAGGTGGCAGTAGTGGAAAGAACACTGGATTTAGAGTTTAAAAAAAAAAAACAAACCCAACCTGGCTCTGCTACCTTACAGAATCACAGCAATCACTTAGACTTGAAAAGGGGCCTTGGCCCATCCGGCCTAGGTTTAAAGCCCTCTCTGCAACATCCCCAACCACTGGCCATCCAATCTAATGCAATCCAATCCAATGCAACTTGCATCTGTAAAACTTGTACTAAGTTCACCCTAAGTGTTGGGCCCTGCCCTCGAGGAGCTTACATTCTAGTAAAGGAAGACGCTAAGCAGTCTGCAGGCATGGGGAATTTACTGTCAGGCAAAGCCTCTCCCTTTTGGGTCCCTACTACTTCATAATTTGAGGCAAGTCCTTTCTACTTTCCGACCTCAATTTCCTTTTCTCTAAAATGGGGGAGGGGGTGCTGAGAGGTATCCTTTGGGGGTTAAGTCCCAGCAGCCTTGCTGAACCTGGCATCGCTGCCAAGTAACCCTGGTTGGGGGAGGGGGGGTCTTTGAGGGGAAGGGGAGGTCGGGGTGTGGCGGCTCTCGGATGTGTCAGGGTCACCCATCCCCCGCTCTCCAGGGCGACCAAGCGGCGCCCCCTGCCGGACGGCGCCCGTGGGAACGGCCGCCCTAGTCCCCTAGCTGTGACTTCTCTCCCGGGGACCTGAGTTCGAGGGACCTGCGCGACATGGGAGGGGCCGGGGCTCCCAGAGCCCAGGAGCGTGCGGCACAGAGGGCAAGACCTTGGGGGAGGGGCGGGAAGAGGGGAAAGAGAGGGGGAAGGGAGTCTACCACCAGGCTGTTGCTTGGTGACCCTGCTCTCTCTCTACCCACCCCCTCCCCCCGCCCTTCTCGGGTATCAGACGGTTCCATTTTCCCAGGAGGGGACGCCCCCTGGCTGAGCCTCTCTCGGACAAGCACTCCCGGATGGTTTCATCCGTCTTCCTCCCCTGCAGATGGTGAAGCGGTCTTCTTGACGTCACAGGGGCGGGGCTCGGCGGCGCTGCCGGGTGCGGGAGGCGCCATTGGAGCCGGCTCTACCAGAGAGCCCGAGCGGAGGCGCCGGAGCAGGTCGGGTCGTCTCGTTGCCACCGCCGCCCTCGCCCTCCTTCTCCTTCTCCTCCTTCTTCTTCTTCACCTGCTCCTCCTCGTCCCCGTTGTCTTCGTCCTTCGGCCCCCGGGAATGGCGTGCGGGGCGACGCTGAAGCGACCCATGGAGTTCGAGGCGGCGCTGCTGAGCCCCGGCTCGCCGAAGCGGCGGCGCTGCGCCCCCCTGCCGGGCCCCGCGCCGGGCCTGCGGCCCCCGGACACTGAACCGCCGCCGCTTCAGCCCCAGTTCCAGCCGCCACCGCTTTCCCCGCCCGGCAGCGACCGCCGCCTGCGGACCCCGGGTAACAGGGGCGGGTCTGGGAGTTGGGGCGGGGGTGGCTGCGGCGGAGGGAAGGGCCACGGCCCAAGGCCGGAGGCTGGGCTGGCCCCGGGCCGAGGCCTGGGAAGGGGGCGCAGGAACCGGGGCAGGGGGCTTCGGGGCACGGGAGGGGGGAACAGCCGGTGAGCCTCCGCCCGCCCGGTGCGACTCACCGTGGCCCAGACCTCGGAGCGAATCGAGGCTAGGCCTTAAGAAAGAAAAGAAGCACCGAACAGCTGTGCGTCCGTGGGCTCTCGGGGTCCACCCTCTCCTGCCTGGTGTGCTGCACACCCGTGCTCTGCTACACCCGCTCGGCGATGCTCCGGGGGTGGGGGGAGAGGAGGAGGCTTCGCATTTCAGTAGGCGGCGGCAGGGCGAATTGAAAAGGAAGCGCATCAATACAGTGTCTGGCATTATTGCAGATTATATTAGGGGAACTAAGGCCTTGAGAAGAAAGAGGGGGGGCATGAGGGGAGGTGATACAGAAGAGGAGTGCACATTACAGCCCACAACAAATTCAAAGGGACTGGCCCAATTTCTTTTGTTCAAGAATTTACTTAGGTTAAATCTGGTTTGAAAGCGGCAGACTATCAGGGCTTAGAAATCATTAATTACCCCAGGATTGTTGTGATTGGATTGGACCTGTAGGTAGTTGAAGAGATGGCCAGAAAAAAAAGAGAGAAGGGAAAAGCTTCTGTGAAGATCTCAGCAAAGGCCTCCCTAGATTAGTATAGGAGCCAAGGAATGCATAAAAATTCTTCATTTAAAAACGAAGTTTGTTATGGCCAAAGCACTTCCTGAAATAGGAGTGTCAAAAAGAAGTCCTTGGGAAATAACCTTTAAGTACTTAGTCTCCAGATTCTCCAAGCCTTAGAGCTTCCTTAAACTCTTTAACCATTTTTTCCCCTTTAATCATCAAATTCTGCCGTTCCTCCCTTGGAAATAGAAGATTGAATCCCTCTTTCATTTCACCAACCTAGTCTATGCCCTCACCTTCCCATCTAGATTACTGCAGTAATTTTAGTCTAGTCTACCCTGCTTTCTGCTCAGTCTTCTTAAGACATGATTTCATTCTGTCATTCCTTGCTACTTTTCAGATCATATCCTAACTCCCCATGCTAGCATTACATCACTTTACCCCACCTTATGCATCCAGGTTTCTCTTTTCCAAAATTATACATATTCAAGCCAAACTGGTTTCCTTCCCATCATCTGAATGTTGATTCTTTTTCCATTTTTTCACTCTGCATTGATCTTGTCATCACAGGGAGGGTGCCCTTCCTCTTTCTCATTACTAAACCAAGACTTAACTTCATTGGAGGCTGAGCTCAAAACTCACTTCCATTAAACTAACTCTACCCCCACAATAATCTTACTTTGAATCCCTGCCTTAGCATTTCAAGATGCTATTACCATAGGTTTTATAGTTATCTCTACTTGCTTGAATATTGCCTTAGTATTTATTCTTTAATTATTTCAGAGAATGCTGGACTTGATGTTAGAGTATTTCTGGCCCTGCCATAAATTAGCTGTGTGACCTTGGAGACATCTCTGTACATCTTTGTACTTCAGGTTCCTTCTCTGTAAAAAGGGGAAGATGAATGCCTGCCTCAACTTCTCTCCATTCAGTCTAACATTTAAGTGCTTTCTATATACACGGCACTTGTGCTAGGTTCTGGGGATACTTAATATGAAAATGAATGAATGAATGAATGAAATTAAATGAAAATGAAGAAGTGACACAGTCCTTCCATCAAAGACCCTACAGAGGAAACATCAGGAACAACCTGCTCAAATAAATGGAGGCAAGAGATGTCAAAATGAAATCAAGGAACTGCTCTAACAGTCCAGTTTGATTGAAACGTAGACTGCATGAAGACAAAAAATGTGAAATAAGACTGGAAAGGTAGGTTGCAGTTAGTAGATTTTGGAGTGTCTTAAATGCTAGGCTAAGGCATTTATATTTTATCCAAAGTAAATAGAGAGCCATTGAAGGTTTTTAAGCAAGGGAGTAGCATGGTCTGACTTGTGCCTTGGGTAGACTGTTTTAGTTTGCTGTGGGAAAAATGATCTGAAAAAGGGAAAAGAGACTGAAATCAGGGAGACCAGTTAGGAGGCTGTTAAAGTAGTCCACACAAAAGGTGATGAAAGACCAAGAAGTAGCATGGTGGCAGTGGTAATAGAGAAAAGGATCAAAGATGTGAAGGTAGAATTTATAGGATTTTGTATCTTATTAGATGTGAAAGGTAAAGAATGATTAAGGTTTTGAGACTGGAAGACTAGTGGTACCTTCACGAGAAATAGGGAAGGTAAGAGGAGCAGAAGACAAACTGAATTTTGGATATGCTGAGTTTTTGTAGGACATCTAGGGAGGAGATGGGCAGTTGGAGATGTAGGATTGAATAATTTAGTGCAGAAATGGGACTTCTGATAATCAAATGAGATAATATGTGTAGAATTGATCCAAAGAATGTAAAGTGCTGTACTTATGTGCTTACAAAGGGATTGTTACAAGTGTATGTGTCATCTAAGGACAGTTCCTTCGCTCTCTAGTTTTGTGTACCTCAGAATACTGTGCTAGAACTGGGTGTGTTGTAAAGTCAGTGAATGCTTAGTGTGTTGAATTTGAAGTACACAGAAGGCTTCTAGTGTGGGCCCAGTAAAACGTAATACATGGTCTTCGTATTTGGTATGAGGACCAACCCGGTTGAGTTGGAAGAAGCTTATCACCCTCCATAGGATCCTTTGTAGGTTTATAGATTCAGAGCTAGAAGGAATCTTCAAGGTTTTCTGGTCCGACAGTCTCCCCCCGCCCCTTTATGTTTGTTTGTTTGCAGATGAAGAAATAACCCAAGCGGTTGTGTGAATTGCCCAAAAATATGCAAGTAATAAGCAGCAGAGGCAGGATTTGAACCCATGTTCCCTGAATCTAAATCTTCTGTATCTTGCTAGGTGATGACTTTTGGAGCTGCAGGAGCTCTGCTAAACAGAAGGGTTGTAACTGATATCAGTGGAGGGATGCATCCATGCCAAAGAAATGAATCCTCGGAGTAGCTATGACCATGTAAATACAAATGGGAACATAATTGGAGAATCGTGGGATCTCAACCAGAGGAGACCTGACCCACACCTGAACAGGAATCCCCTCTACAACATCCCCAATGGTAATTGTCCATTCTTGGCTTGAAGCTCCTCCAGAAGTGTAGGGCCTCCAAGTCATGACATGGTCCTGTAGGAGTAGGAGTGGTACCTCTACCATTTCCACCCATTGTTCCTAATTATTGTTTCTGAGGTGTCAACTACAAGTCTGTGACAGCCCTGCAGATATTTGATAGTGACCATCTCTAGCCACCTGAGAGGCTTCTTATCTCAAGGCTAAGCATCCCCATTGCTTTGAGTTAATCTTTTATGGCAGAGTCTCTAGTCCCTTCACCATTTTGGTTGCTCTGATATTCCCCAGCGTGTCAGTATCTTTCCTAAAATCCAAAACCCAGAACTAACTACAATATCCTAGAGAGATACCTGGCCTGTACAGAAAACAACAGGACCATCAGCACCTTTATTCTGGATATTTAACTTTGATTTATGTAGCCTAAAATGGAATTAGTTCTTATCACATAGTTGGTTAGTATTGAATTCACCATCCACTGAAATTCCTAGCTTCTTTTTCTCATGAACTAATGTCTTATCACTTCTTTCTATCCTATATTTAGTCAATTGACATTAATGTTAGTCTTAAAGTGCGCCTACTGCTTGAAGATCCATTCTAGCTAGCCGCTGAGTCATTTATACTGAAAATATTTTAAGTTCAGTAATGAAAAAACACAAAGTTACTGATGGCTCGCCTGTTCTGGGTATATTTTGTATGAATGGAGCCTTTGGAATTTAAAAAAGAAAACCTTTGATTCCAGAGTGGAAGACTGAAAGCATGTAGGGTGAAAGTGGTGGAAGTAGTTATTTTGCTGCGTGTACAAATGAAACCAACCTCATGAAGAATGAATTTTAAAATCAGTAATTCTTTGCAAATGTTCCAGGATAGCAGCAGATCTTAAAGGTTTCAGCTTAAGGGTTGTCAAACTTCACAAAAAACTTTGAAAAATAACTCCTTTTAATTCATAATAATTTGAAAAAAATGTCATAGAGCTCTTTTTGTGAGAGAAAGAAATTATAACATCAAACAGTAGGGTATCTTTAGTCTAAAAGTGAATCTGCCCTCATTCCTCAGGGATGTGAGTGTTGGTCCACTGAACACCAAAAATGACAGTCTCATGCCCAGTGCTTCCATCTTTGCCCTGAGCCTTTGGACTTCATACAGGCTGCTTGTAGGATCCAATAGGATATCCCATTGCCAAATAGTCTGAGAATTATTGATTTCAGTGATTCCATTATTGCCACTTACAAGAAGGGTTTGTTTTTTCTTTTTAAAAATATCGTTTCGTGCAGGCCTGTACAACAGACAGCTTGCTGGCTGCTTGTGACCCACTAAAGGATTCCCGGCGGCCTGCCAAAAATGTAGAGGATGTAAAAGAAAGTAAAGAAAGTAGTGAGTGCTTTGTCCCTGCCCTGTTTAACCCACCTTACACTAGTCGCTATTGTGCCCATCATGTAACTTGGCAGGTGGGTTGCCACTGAGTACTCTCTCCTGTTTGTTACGTGATCTGCAGCAACCAACCATCGTCAGTCTCTTTAGTCTGAGAGAAGTGATTTCATGATAAATAAAAATCTTAACAAGTGTAATTCATTGATATTAATTGAAATTTCCCCCTCTTTTTTATGTGGCTTATTTCCCAAATAGTTTAATTATTAATTATACTTTTACTTGAAAAGTGAGCCACTGAAAACCTAGCTGTGGCCAGAAGTTTAGCCCATTTTAATTTTGGCCCCTACCTGCTGCCAAGTTGTACAGGTCTGCTTTAGTGCTGTGTGTAGTTTTAACTTCTTAGAGTATTGGATGGTATGTTGAAAGAAATTAGCATTCTGTAGAATGCTATCTCTTTTCTTTTAAAATCACCTCTGAATACAAATTTATGTTTCCTCTCCCGATCTATATGCCATTTCAGGGTTGGTATTGGTCAGTCTTTTGGAGTGCAAGGGATTTGCCTTCCCAGTTTCACCTTGTAGCTGCAATAGCAGCTGATTGTTGATGAAAGACCTTCTGTTTTCTGGAACATTTGTTCTCACACTTGTCCTTTCTTATCTTTGCATTTCTTTACATATTTGTGCTGAATCTGACAATTCTTTGGTCTTGGGACAAAAGAGAGGAGGATCTCATAGTTTCTGTGAGCCAAAATTAGTCATTTAGAACTATTGAATGAAAACTCTGCTAATCTTATATTCTTTTAGACTATTCAAGCCAAGAATGGTAACTTAGACTTAAATAAATAAGGCTACCTAAACCTTCTTTGGGGTTTCATCTGTTTATAAGTCGAATACCTTGTGTATGTTTTCTAAATTGGAAACAATACCTTGGCACTGATTGGAAGATTAGAGAACCCAGAAAGTACAGGTAGAGAATTAAAGTGTGTGTGTGTGTGTGTGTGTGTGTGTGTGTGTGTGTGTGTGTGTATTTTTCAAAGATTGGCATAGGTATAGAACTGATTTATTTTTTTTTATATTAACAACTTATATCCATATAGTTCTGTTCAATAAACATCAAACTGCACTGGGCTTGGTGATGGGTACACAGAGATGGACAGTGATCATCCCAGGCCAGGCCCACCCCCCTACACCCGGTTTTTTTTAATCATCCCTGCTCTTAAAGAGTTTATTAGCTGCGGGGTTACACCATGTGTGCAAAATTCGTATAACCCAAGAAGGTAGACTGTGGTAGGTGCAAAGGAGGGGGCCAGGCAAAACAATGTAACCACTGCAGAAGAGAGATCTTATTTGTCATAAGTAGATATTTAAATTGATTGCTAAATAACCCCTTGCGTGTATATAGCACTTCTTCTTTCCTTTGGGCTAGGCGATGGAGTTAAGTGACATGGCCAAGGTCACACAGCTAGCAAGTGTTATGTGTCTGAGGCCGGATTTGAATTCAGGTTGTCCTGAATCCAGGGCTGGTGCTCCATCCACTGCGCCATCTAGCTGCCCCCAGCACTTTTTTTTTTAAACAAAGTATTTTATAAAATTTGTGAAGCATTTTCCCTGAAACAATCCTGTGAATATGGTATTACAGTTGGTCTTATCTCCATTTTATAGATGAGGAAATTGAGGCTCAAAGCTGTAGGGACCTGCCTAAGGGCTTGTGCAGCTCAGGCTTTGGCTCTGTTCTCTGAACTCATGAAAGGGGAGGGGTTGTGGGCTCAAGAAGTGTCCTGGCCAGATGTGCTCAGCTCCTTTGAATTTTTCCAGAGCATTCCTCAAAACCTTTTTGTAAAAGAAGTACTAATAATAATAATAATAACTCACATTTCTATAACACTTTCAAATCTATGGAGGACATCTTTGCTTATGGCAAAACTATATGGTGAATGGTGCAAATACTGTCTCCATTTTATGTAAGGAAACTGAGACTTGGAACCTTGTGAGGTGCCTTGCCTGAAACCACAAAACTAGTCAGTGTCAGAGCTGGGTGTTCTCATAGTACTCTTTTTCTTACAGCATTCTGCAGTTGGTTTTCCTGTTGAAGTGCTAAATAGGATAATCATCTATATTTAAGGCAACCCTACCCACTTTGAAAGGCAGTAAAAATAATGACTAGAAAGCTCATTTTGTTCATTTATTCACTCAACAAATAAAGCTGAGTTCATTTACCTCCCTAGAACTTTTCTGGCTGTGTGCCTCTGCGAATCCTCTCTGAGCATTAGTTTTCTTAGCTGTAAAATATCAGCTGTTGTGATTATCTTTACCTCACAAGGTTGTTGTGAAGATCACATGAGATAATGTATATAATCTAGAGCTTTGCAGACTTTAAAATGCTTTACAAATGCTAGTTGTTATTTATTTAATTGTATAAGGATAATGCTAAATGTTGTGGGGGAGACAGAGCCCTCAAGAGAGCTCACAGTACAGTAGGGGAGGAAAATAGCCACAATATAAGGTAGGATGTGCAGGCCAGTAGAGAAGTGTACAGTGCTATGTTCAGAGATGCAAAGACACCCCTTCCTGGGGTCACCGGGCAAGAGAGAGGAAGGGAGGGAGGCAGAGGCAATGTGGTGTGATGGAAAGAAACCAGTTTTGGATCCTGCTTCTGAAACTTACGAACTGTGTTGCCAAGGGCAAGTCATTTCACTTCTGAGGTTTGACTTCATCATGTTTACACTTAAGGTGCTAGCTGTGTGCATATGAGGGTTTTTGGTTTTTTGTTGTTGTTGTTGTTGTTTTCAAAATAGACTGAATTTGACAGATTTGAAAGGAAGAGTGAAAATTAGCTGTGCTGATAGGTGAAAGCATGAGCATCCCTCACATACCACCCTATCCTTTCACTTGGTGCTCGGAAGAAGTGGTACAAAGACACTCCCAAGGTCTCTCTTAAGAACTTCGGAATTGTTTGTGTGACATGGGAGACAGTGGCACAGGACCACTCAGCATTGCGTGCCCTCATCAGAGATGGTGCTGTGCAATGTGAGCAAAGCAGAGTTGAAACAGCTCAGAGGAAACAGGATGCACAGATTTAGAGGATCCACCCCAAATGTCATGTTGGTCCTCTTCAAGAACGAAGGACAACAGCCAACCAACCATTACCATTTAGCTTACTTAGCCTAGTTTCTTGAGAGAATTAGAATTGTGTCATTCTTGTCCAGTGTGTTCAGAACCTAAAGGATATGCCTACTTTCTTTGATCCTAATCAAACCACTGCATAGGCTACGCTATTTTTTGTAAATAACATTTTATTTTTTCCAATTACATGTAAAGATAGTTTTCAACATTCGTTTAGTCATGTTGTGAAAGAAGAAACAGAACAAAAGGGAAAAGCCACCAGTAAACAAAAAAAGTTAAAATAGTATGCTTTGATCTGCATTTCAGACTCCATAGTTCTTTCCTTTGATGTGAATAGCATTTTCCATCATGAGTCTTTTGGAATTGTCTTGGATCATTGTATTGCTGAGGAGAGCTAAGTCTATCAATATTAGTCATCGCACAGTGTGGTTGTTACTGTGTATAACGTTCTCCTGGTTCTGCTCACTTCACTCAGCATCAGACCATAGAAGTCTTTCCAGGTTTTTCTGAAGTCCTCTTGCTCATCATTTCTTACAGCACAATAGTATTCCATTACATTCATATACCACAGCTTGTTCAGCCATTCCCCAATTGATGAGCATCCCCCAATTTCCAATTCTTGGCCACCACAAAAAGAGCTGCTATAAATATTTTTGTTTATATGGGTCCTTTTCCCTTTTTTATGATCTTTTTGGGATACAGCCCTAGAAGTAGTATTGCTTGATCAAAGGGTATGCACAGTTTTAAAGCTCTTTGGGCATAGTGTAGACAGCTCTTTAGAAACTACAGGATCCAGGAACGCTAGAGGCATTTAGAGAAAGAGAAGTGAGCGATCTCTAATAGGTAATTTTTTCATAACTCATTCACATAGTGTTTTGTGATTTACAAAGCACTTGAATATGGTGGGGGCAGTGGGAAGTAAAAGGGGAAGTGGGAAATAGGCAGTGCTTGTATGGAAGTAAAAAAACTGAGGAAATCAGAAGACACTGGAGAGCATGTAAAGGGAACCGGAGAGATGTTCATTACCTATAGAACTGCTTTGTGGTCAGACCGGTTGAAGAACTGTTGACTTTTGAGCTCTCACTTAAAAACTAAAATTGACTGTAATACAGTGTATGCCACAGTACCAGAGCACTGCTTGTTGGGCTATGTGAAAGTATAATATGTGCTTTTCATTTTCTCCTAAGCAATGATTATTTTCAAGATTATTACTGACATCTTCAATCCATGATTTTACCAATATGGGTACTTCCCCCACCATTACAGATTGCAACTTTTTCTGACCTTTTCATCCTGTACAGGTTATGTACACAAATGCTTCATCTACCCAGTGCACTGGAGGCTTTCTTCAGGGTTTCTTCTTCCCTGTCCCCTGCAATGTCTCAGATACCATTGTAATACTTGAGCTTTCTATGTGCTGTGTCTCCATGCCACAGGCACCTCCATTTTTGTGTGATATCTTTAAGGTAACTTCTTGCGTGTGCAGGTCATTGTTGGTAACATAACTGTAGTTTGGTTTATGGTGTTCCATGAGTGCCAGGCATATATCATCACCAGATTTATTAGAGAGATGGGCTTTTGCTGCAGTAAGTAGTTTGACATGATTGAAAGCTTTCCAGTTTCCTGGATGTAATCTAGCTTTCACATCCTTCCTAATTCTGGAACCAGCTCATTGTCTATCTGCTGCACCTGTTCAGGGTCTTGATAGACTAATTCAATGGACAGCCATCTAGTGCTGTAAGAATAACATAGTCTATAACTCACTAAAAGTCAATAGTCAGGGGCAGCTAGGTGGCACAATGGATAGTCAGGAGGCCTTGGAGTCAGGAGGACCTGAGTTCAAATCCAGCCTCAGACACTTGACACTTACTAGCTGTATGACCCTGGGCAAGTCACTTAACTTAAAACTTAGTTTTGGAAAGCTGGGATTAAAATCCTGCCTCTACAACTTAGTGTCTGTGTGATCCTCTGCAGATCCTTTCTGGCCCTCAGTTTATTCCTCTTTAAAATGAGAGGACTAGACTAGATGATCTTTAAGGGCCCCTTCCAAGTCTAAATCCTGTCAACCTAAATGCTTCCTGCTCAGTGTTCTGTGTTGGCATTGCACATGGAGATTAATGATTATATTACAGTCAATCTTTAATTGACTTTAAGTTATTTTTAAGTATTTTTAAGAAAGTTACTTGTTAACTTATCTCTAATAATAAACATTTATAGAAAACTTTTAAATTTTCACATTGCTCTGCATATATCATCTCATTTAAGTCTTAGAGGCAACTCTGTGAGGTAGATTCTACAATAGTATCCCCATTTTACAGATGAAAAAGCCAAGGCTCAAAGAGGTTCTTACTTGCCCATGGATTCACAGCTTATAAATGTCATGGGTGAGATTTGAATCTAGGCCTTTCTGACTGAAGGCTTTGCACAGCCCTCTCTCACTCATGTCCAATTCAGTTGCAAGTCATGACATCATCTTGCTGATTTCGTGGACAAATCACAATACAGTCATATTATCCACTAGATGACATTGCACCTCAATATTCTGAAGCTATGCGAAATACAGATCATCTTGTGGCTCCAGGGACCATGTTGCAATCCAGAGATTTTTTTTTTTTTTAGCCAATCAATGCAGGCAACAAGATCTTGTAAGTCTTACGTTCCATGTCAGGTAGACAGTGGTGGACCCTTCGGTATCTCGCTGGGCTGCCTAACATTTGGTAGGCATGGGCTCTGTAGTCAAAGTAAGATGAGAAATGGAGGTGCTTGTTGGAAGAGGATTCTGCCTGAGGACGGGGTAAGAAAAGTGCACTGCATTCCGGGAAGCAGAATAGTCCGAGACAGGTCTTCACCTGGCCGCTCTCTAAGTGTGCAGCCTTAGCATTATGTGAAAGTCTATTACTGCATTGCTCATTTGTCAGATGAGGGTGTTAGAATAGATGTTCTTCAAGAATCCTTTCCTGTTCTAACATCTGCAGTTTTTGAATTGTTCAAAATGGAGGTGACTGAATGTTTGATAAATTGGAATTAATCGTAACGGGAGCATATTGTCATCTGTCGGGTATGAGAAGAGGGGAAAGATGTGCAATGTAATATAAACACAAAAATAAGCACTTTAGAAAGGGGATTGTGGCACATATAGCCCATATGTTAAAAATTTAAGGAGAAAGGTACAATGAGTGTTCTTTTTTCTTTTTCTTCTTTTAATTAGAGCAAATATTTCAAAACATCAAACAAGAATACAGCCGCTATCAGAGGTGGAGACAATTAGAAGTTGTCCTTAATCAGAGTGAAGCCTGCATTTCAGAGGGTCAGTCACACTCTTCAGGACTTTCAGCACCGAGCTCACCAGGTAAGAAGGGTGCAGGTGTAAAACTCCTTTTGTTTAATGGTACCAATTATAGGGTGTTCATGGAACTTGAGACTTAGTATCAATTTATGTTAATGGAATATTTCAGCAAGGCACATATATGCATATGTCCACTTGGGAGAAATATTTTTGCATTTCCCAATTGGGTTTTTTATGTTAATTTAGGAAGTTTGCCCAGTAGCTGTTAAAAGTTAGCAGAGCGCCCAGAAACACTTGATGGATGCCTCTCTTTCTGTAGCTTTACACCCCACAGAAGAGTGCTGATCAGCGATGGCTCACTGTAAAGTCATGAATGCATTACTAGCAAACACTGATGAAAAGTGGTGAAACCCAACAGTAATATTGTTGCTATGGGATTAACTCCTCCTCGCCCCCAGCTTCATTTTGCCTCAGGTATTTTCACCAAACCAATGAATCACATTTATCAGGGTCTGCTTGTGTTGGCACTAGCCAGATGCTCAGTACTATCTCTTCACACTACTAGAGTGCACTGGAGTGATTAACTGCATGTTATCTCTAGTAATGTTTTATGTGGTTTAATATTATTAGTAATCAGAGACCCGCACAGAATCGCAGTGTAAACTGACTCTGCTTTTTCAACCCAGTTTCATGGTAGTGGGGTGACCATTTGTCAGAGGATTCCCATTTCTGGCAGGGGTTGTATTATGGGATCCTCTGAGATCCTTTTCAGTCCTTCGAGACTGATTCTGAGCTGGAGATGGTGATAACCAGTGACTTTTAGGCTTTCAGAGATGATTCTGTTGCATACATTTTTCTGCTAAGAACTTACCTGTCCTTCAAGTTGATTAGAAAGCATTTAATGTATTGGCGACTTGGGTAACGTGGTATCAGCTAATTCACATCATCTTGGCCAACCCCTTCCACTCCTTAGACCTCAATTTCCTCACATTGAGAAGAAATTGGACTGGTTGATCATAGGGTCATGGATGTCTAGGCCAGCCCCTCATTTTACGTTTGGGTCACACATGTTGTGAGAGATTCTGAGCCATTCTCCTTTCCACTGCACTACCCTTCCTCATCCCTGAGGTCGCTTTCTGCTTTGATAGTCACAGTCTCATTTTTGCTTTAAAGTCTGATCTATTTGTTTAAGTATTTCAAAGCTTTTCTATAACATCAGAGCATAAAATGTGTGCCACATTTTATGGTGTTAGAGCCATTCTCTCAGCTATATTTATATAACAGTTTGCAGTTCTCAAGTTTTAGTAGATATGTTCTCAGTCAGCCCTAGTAACTTTATGAATTAAGTAGGACTAGGATTTTTCAACTCCATTCTACGTATGAGGAAACCAAGGCTCACGATTTTCCCCAAGGTCTTGTGACTCACAAGGGTCAGAACACAACACTGCTCTTTATCTAAGCTTTGGAACTAGAATGAGATTTCAGCAGCAGCTCCACAGACTCTGTGGTCTTCTTTGTTTAGGTTCATCCTGGATGAAAAAGGACCAGCCAACATTTACATTACGACAAGTGGGCATATTGTGTGAACGTCTCTTAAAAGACTATGAAGATAGAATTCGGGAGGAATATGAGCAAATCCTCAATACAAAATTAGCAGGTGAGTTGAGGCAGTGCTATATTGATGCAGTTATAGCTTTTCATGAAATAATAACCATCGTAAGTGTTTTTACTGGTATAGGTATGAGTTTTGTTTTTTTAAGGTATCAGTTGCCTGCTGAGGCACATGGTTTTGCTATTATTTTCTAGTTCTTGATTTCATGTTGTCACATAAATATCCTGCGTGTACAAAGTCACTCAGATAATGTTTGACCCTGGTTGGTGTGAATGACAAGGAGTGTGCTGTGGCACTTGTTCATTTAATGCACTTTACAGATGCGTGGCAGAGGATGGGGCGGGCTGCCCCCTACCTATTCCTCAGACCTGGAGAGCAGACCATTCAGGTCAGGCTGGAATGTGCTATCCTGGTAGAAATGTAGGGCAGAGGCAGGAGCAGCTTAGGGACTGTAATTGAGACAGTGCCACAGGTGTCCTTTCAGGACCTGACGGCCTGCAGCATTCAGCAAGTCACCTCACTTCTGTCTTCAGACTTCTCAGCATTCTCACCTTGCATTTAGATAGTACTTTACAGTCATAAACGTGATGTGGTGATGTTATGTGATATAAGGAAGTGAAAAAGTCCCGATTGAAATGAAAGGAATGTGGTAGGAGAGAAATGAGTGGTGCTTTAGGAAAAGAAGGACTTTATGAAGTCTTAAAATAAATAATTTTCAATTTGACATAGAGCATAATAGCTAGTCTGGAAAGGATTTGGAGAAAGGAAACTGAGTTAGATGATTTAAGTAGAAACTTCCTGTCCAGTATTTTAAAGTACCACCTCTAACCACCGTCAAATTCTCTGCCTACGTGGAATTTAAAACTGGGAGAGACTTTAGGGACCGTCTCGGTCAGCTCCCTCATTTTATAGATGAGGAGGAAGCGTGGCACCCAGGAAGCGGGCCTCAGTGACTTTCCCAGGGTCATTCAGCTAGTATGGCACAGGTGGGATAGAAACTCAGGCCTTCTAGTACTCAGTCCAGAACACTTTGCCCTTGACCTGCTAGGCAGCTTTAATGATCTTCTCTGCCTAGATTCCTCCAGGGCTTTGTCACTGATCTTTCTGTGTCTAATGTCACAGGTCTTTTTTTTAGTCAGTGCCATAACTGTCCATTTTTACAGGTGGGTCAGGAGTTTCCGTAGCCCGCAGGGCCACTGTAGGGATTACACCACTGGTAGGCCTGAGAATTAAGGGTGACTGTGGAATATGGGGAAAGTAAAGGGGGGGTGTGGGGTGGGAAGGAGTAACAGAAAAGAAAGAGATGTTTGGCAGGAGGGGATAATGCTAAGAACAGTTGGCTCAGGCCTACTCTCACAGCTCTCATTTTCTATATCCTTCCCTTCACACACCAGGCCAGGGACAGAGTAGATGACCCTTTGAGTGTTTATGAGTCTCTGACAGCTCTCTTCCCATTGACTGCATGTTCAGTTATTCATTCCCCACCCCTCTCCTTGTACTCCCATTCTGGTCAGTCCCTTCTCTGCCCCTTATTCCTCTTGCCCAACTTCTGGCACTCAGCCCAGTCTCCTCTGCTTTCCCTTCCTGTGGCCCCTTGCCCTTTGTATCTGTCAGGATGCTTTCCTGCTTTCCAGGCAGTTTCACCTTGGAAACTCCCTCTCCAAAGAAGCCTTTCCCAGTTAGCTGGGAATTGACTGGCAGGGTTTTCACTGTTGTTATTTGCCCTGCTAACCATCCTTCATTCGCCCTCTGATACTCCTTCATCTTGGGGTCTGTGTGGAGAAAGTAGTAATGCAGAGAGGGGGTGAAGCTTACAGAAATTGTCTTGGTCAGCGTTCTAGAATGTACACTGTCAGTGCATGACTTTCTATTATAACGGCATTCAGCAGAGGTTTGCTCTTAAAGACAAGGAGGGGCGATTAGGAAGATGCACTCTTTCAGATAACAGAAGACCAAAGTGAGCACCAGGCAATTGGCCATGAAGTTCTAGCGGAAGGGGCAGGTTCTAGGCTGTAGGAGGACTGGCGGGCTGACCAACTTGAATGTGGGGAAAGGAGTCTGTGGAGTTGATTAGAACCCTGAGATTCAATGCATGGAACGGTATCTTTTCCCCTCATAGAACAATATGAATCTTTTGTGAAATTCACACATGATCAGATCATGCGACGATATGGGACAAGGCCAACAAGCTGTAAGTGATTCCTCTGACTCATTTGTCAGGGTCATCTTTATCTTTTCCTTTTCCAAAAATCCTAAAGAGTAAAGCTTTTTACGTTGTTTGCCCTAGACCCATAGGGTCTTCTGAGGGCAGTGGTGAAACTGGGCCAGACCCCTCTGCAACCCAAGGTGTCAGGTGATTTAATACCCCAGCCCTATTAGGGCAGGTGCCTTTTCCCTTCCGTTGATGTGAGTGCTATGAGGAAAGGCAATTAAACCCACCCAAGAAGTCCAAATTACGCTTTTTCCAGATTTAAACCCATCAGTTTGGTCCTGTGACTTAATTTTTTCATGCAGTGCTCAGGATTTCTTGATTGTGAAGCTTGTGGAACTTGCAGATACCTAAAGTTTACTTTAGTATACCAGGGGTCTGTGATTGTAGTCCTCCTTTACTTTAGGAGATGGTCATCTTGAACTGCTGAGGCTGAGGAAATGCTTTCCCTAGTATCTGATTGATCCTCCGGCAGAGAGATTTCTCCAAACTTACCTTAGATAGCTCTTGGAAAACAGACCCAAGGTTAGTACTCACACCACTGACACGGCATTTAAGAGCCTAGTAGCACAATGAGACATCGGTGGATGGAGGACATTTTTGGAGGCTCTAAAGTAGTCAAAGAGAGTGCAGAAGAGATGGGCCCAAGTTCATTTGATTAAATCTTGAGAGTTTTCATTCCAGTGAGTAGTAAAACCTGTATGCCATAGAGTGTTCTGCCCATATTCCCATTTGTATAACAAGAAAGTACAGCACTGTATTTTTACTGATAACTACTACTCTCTTTTTGCAGATGTGTCTTGAATTTTCTTTGCATATCTGGGTACCTGGTCTGACCTCAAGAGATGGCTGCTGTACACTTTTGCAACTGGTTTGATATCACATTTCAGCTCCAACTTTGCATCCTGAGAACACTTAAAATATCTCTGCAGGTCCATTTTTATATAACTTGAAAGACCTTGAAACTTTCTGGTTGCCACAAAGCATAACTTTCTTTTCTGCTCAGCCAATAAACAGCTGTGCCCTACCATGAGATATTTCCCAAACACAAAATACATGGAGCAGCAGTTTAGCAACGTAAAAGCCTTTATTGGCGCTAAGCAGATGGAACGTCTCCCCAAGCCCAGTTCTGTAAGGGGTGTGTGTGTCTGTGTGTCTGTGTTGTGTGTGTGTGTGAGTGTGAGAGTGTGTGTGGGTGGGTGTGGGTGTGAGTGTGTGTGGGTGTGTATATGTGAGTGTGTTTTTTAAGTTATTATTTGTACTGTGCAAATTTTCTGATCTTGGGGATCCTGGCTGTGAATTTGATGCACGACAATTATGGTTAGAAACATTTTTTGGTCTACAAGGATCAATAATGTTTTGGTGACCATAGAAGTTATAACCGTGGATTGTTTTGTGTGTAGCTATTATTGTTAAATACAGGGACTATTTTCAGGCACAGAATATTAATCATAATTTAGGTTGGACAATAGATGTGATTATGACGACAGAGAGAGGTTTTTGCGCTTGTAGGTTTTACATACAGCATGGAATTAGTACAAGCTGGAGAAAGGATCATTTGACCTATGGACTCAGCCTGGCCGTGCTAAGAAAACACCTTGACTCCAAGCCTTAAAATACACACGTGGAGTCTGCAGCTCACAGCGGCGGCTTGTGCGCTCATTTACACAACCAGGAGCTCCACCAACACTTTTGACCTCTCAGAAGAAAAGGCTTCCCCAAGAGCAGGAGGTTGTGCTTGTCTCGGTGTCACACAAGTGAATGAGGGTGGCTCTGCTTGGTCCAGCGTCGTATTGTTACAGTTCGTAACAGTACCTTCATCTTGGGTTGTTAGGCTAGAAACAGAACTTCTGATCCCACGTTCAGGTTTTTTCCAAATTCTTCCAAGATGTTTCAGTGCTTGGCTGCTTGGATTTTTTTTAGGGGGTACGACCCCTGCCCTGAGTTGATAACACGCTGTTCTTCTCCTTTGAATTTCCAAGGTCGAAGGACAGAAAGTAACCTCTGTTTTGAGGAGGTGGAAATTCAGTGTACTTTTTTTTACTGTGACTTGTCAAGGACCATATTCCACAGCAATGCCTTGTTTCATTTATTATTGTTTCTTGAAAGTTAAATGTTTTTAGTTTAAATATAGGCTAGAATTTTAAATTAGGGCTCATTTTGAAAAATGCTGAGTTTAGTTCAAATGTATGCCAATGCCTTCTGGGTGGATAATATTCAGAGACAATTGTTGTTGATCAGATGGCATAGAGAAACCTTTTGGAATAGTCACATTTGCAGATTGCCTATTGATGAATGTCTTTGACTTAAATCTAACCAAAAAACTACAATGTTATCCTTTGTACATTTTCATTATATAGTGTTAACGAGCTTAGTTGCAAACCAATAAAATACTTAAGCTATTTGTTTACCTTGCCTTCTTACTATTGTTATCAAACATTTATTGAATTAATATGATTTTATAGGAGGCTGCTTTAATTATTTTCTGAGTTTGACATGACATGTAAGATTTTGTTTTTTCTCCCCCGGCTCAGGGGTGATCTTTAATAATTAAAGAATGATTTTATCTCAGTTTTGAAGGTTATTGCTTCATCTCTATTCTTCCTTCAAGTGGCAGAGGTTACCAGTAGTATTTAGGAAGTTTGATCGTCTAGAATGGAAGCTTCCTGAGGATAAAGACTACATTTATCTTTATCTCTGCTACAGCCAAGCATAACATATTGCAGTAGATGTAGTAATATCATGCTGCCCAATTATTAGTCATTTGAATGTTTACAGTGTGTCAGAGCTCGAAAAGAACTTGCAGATCATTGAGTACAAGCTCATCATTTTATAAATAAGGAAACTTGGGCCTAGACAGGGAAAATCACTTGCCCATGGTTAAACGGCTGGGAATTTTGAACTAAGGTCTACTGACTCAAAATCCCATTTTCTTTCTGATAAAATAGGTCTCCATGCCACAGGTAGGTGGGCAGTGACTTGTTACCCTCAGATGAGAAGGTCCATTCATAGCTAAGAGGATCTATCTCCAGTAGTTTCTCTCCAAGCTATCTCGCAATTCAGCTCTGCAAATGAGTTGAGATCTAGGGATAATACCATAAAGAAATACAAGTGAGAAACAGAGAAGAGTATGTTTGAGATAAAGGACAGCCAGGAGAAAAACCTTCTTTGTCTCTTCTCCCATCTCTGTTACGGCTACCAGCCATAGAGAGTGATGGCATGCACAGAAATATCCACCACATAATATCATGAGATTTCAGAAGTGGGAAAGATGACTCAGCCGGAGAGACTTGGGGCAGGTTCCACACAGAGTGGCGTTCAAACTGGTTCTTAAAAGGATAGACAGGAGGAAGGAAGGAAGGGGGCATTATAGGTGGTAGGCATAGAGTGAGCAGGATAATCTGTGTGGGGAATAGCAAGTTGGACCTGGCTTGAGTTCCTGACCTGCCACCTACTGATAATGTAGGAGTTGGATGGACTTCTCAAAAAGTCCTTTCCAGCTCTATATTCTAGGATGAGGAAGAGTGAAATGGTGCCATGATCTTTTGAGTAGTGCTAAATAAACACTTTACAAATATCACATTTTATCCTCACAACCTAGGGAGTGGGGGAGTACTATTATGATCCCCATTTTATAGTTGAGGAAACTGAGGCAGCGAGAGATTACATGACTTGCCCAGAGTCCTGCTGCTAATAATTGTCTGAAAGTGTATTTGAATTCAGGTCTTGCTGACTGCAGTCCAATGCTTCTTGCACTGTGCCACATGGCTGTAAACTACAAGACTTGCTGACATGAATAAGAATGGCATGAGGCAAGGGAACTCTTTTCTAGGCCCAGTGGATAGCATGGAGAAGGTATGTAAGTAGAACATAAGCTACTTGAGGGCAAGGACAGTTTTGTTTTTGTCTTTGTATCACCAGCACCTAGCGCTCTGCCTGCTACATAGTAGGTATTTAATAAATCCCTTATGAATTGAATTATTATAGTGGTCTTGGTCACGTGGGATAGTACTTGCTGTAGGTCAGGTGATGTTGACTAGCACATTGGTGGTGAGGACAAATGGAGTGTAAGTTTTTCAGTACTGTGCTGTGATATGTTTGAGGCAGCCTTCTCACCACAACTTACATTTATATAGCATCTTTGGGCTTATGATATTCCTTGCTACCTTGTAAGGTGAGTAGTACCAAGATAATTAAATCCCACTTTACAGATGAGAAAACCAACTAACGTATAAGAAAAGTTAATTGACTTGTCTAAGGTCCTGCAAATAGTGTGTGTTATCCAGGATGATTCAGACTCCAGTCTTTCCCACTCAGAGACCACACTGCCACCATAACAAGGTGCCTCTCTTCTCTCCTCTCCCTCTCTGTCCTCCATAAGGAGAAGAGCTGATTCTGAATGTGGAGTAGGTGCTCCTTGTCTTGCTTATCATGTGCTTTCCACATTGTAAGGGCTCCATAAAAGTTCATTGTTATCCATTCTATCCTAATAGACTTACGTCTGTTCCCCCAGGCTCTCATATCCATTATCTTTGAACCATTTCATTCAGGAAACATTAATGAAGCCACACTTGGCATTTTCATGTTATTGTGGGGGAGGTGCCCTGAGAGGTGGGCAGGGCAGATGAATGGGGGGAGGGGGGCAGTGAAGTTAAGCTCCTAGCTGTTTGGATCAGCATTTGGCAGGTAGAAAGTGGAACCAGCTAGAGGGGAGAGAGCTTGTAATGTAGTGCTTATAATGGGGAGGAGGGGCATACACAAATATCTGAGACATGGTCCCTGCCCTCAGTCTAATAGGGAGTGGTGGCATGCACAGAAATATCTACCACATAATATCATGAGATTTCATAAGTAGGAAAGATGACTCAGCTAGAAAGATTTGGGGCAGGTTCCACACAGAGTGGCATTCAAGCTGGTTCTTAAAAGGATAGACAGGAGGAAGGAAACACATTATAGGTGGTGGACATAGAGTGAGCAGGATAATCTGTGTGGGGAATAGCAAGTTGGAATATATCAGTTCTGTTGAAGAAGCCTGGAAAGGTAGTTTGGGACCAGACTCTAGGGGCCTTGAATGTTGGGCTAAAATGTTTGGCTATTATTAGGAGGCAATAAAAGATTAATTTTGAACTAGAGGTGTGATGATTGATCAGGATGGGGAAAGAATGATTTAGAGAAATCAGGTGAGTAAGGGTCTGAACTAGGGCAAGAAGCAGTGGGAAGAGAGGAAGAGGGAGGAAAGAGGAACTGTGGGAAGGAAGGCTTGATGGGACTTTGATCATTGGATCTGACTGATTCATCCTTTCAGCATTTATTAAACACCCACTATATGCAGAGCCTGTTCCAGGGGCAAGGGCAAATATAAATTGGGATTAGACACTATCTCTGACCTCATGGAGTTTATATTCTAGGAGGAGAATAAGACACCCAGCTAATTACAATATTTTTCACAAATGCATTAGGGAAGGGTAATAAAGTATTACAGAAGATGTGAGATAGATTGCCAAGGTGTGTGTGCGTGCGTGTGTTTGGTGGGGGGGGGGTAATCAGAGAAGGCTTCGTGGAGGAAGTGGCCATTGAGATTGTATGGTTAGGGAGAAGTCAGAAGGTATTGCCTAGTTTGAACAGAGGTGGCCCAGAGCTGTAGAGATCACAGGCAGCTTAGTATAGTGGGAAGAGCTCTACATTCTAAGTAGGAAATCCACTTGCCACCTGTGTGAACTTGGGAGGTCGCTTCAACTCTTTGAGCCTCAGTTTTTTCATATGCAAACTATAGGGATTGAATTAGGATTCTTAAACTGGGGTCTGTGAATTAAAAAAAAAAATTTGTAACTTTCAATATAATTAATTTCCTTTGTAATCCTCCATATTTTATGCATCAGGCTCCCAAGGGGGAGGGGGCCCATGACTCAAAAAAAAGGTCAAGAACCCCTAAATTAGATGATCTCCAAGGTTCTTTGCTCCTCTTAGCCCTATAACCTGTGACTTTCCCTCAGAGCTCTATCCTTGTTTCCCAGTTCATTTCATATTGACTCAGTAAACTCCACATGAAATGCAAGAGCCCTAACCCTAACTGTTCCCTTGAGTTCCGACAAATCGTGTCCATTTCCCAACCTTGGCCCTCAGCCTATCTCCCATAGTCCTCAGTGTATGGGCCAAAGTATCAGGAGCTCCCATGTAAAATGGGAAATTGGGAGTTATCTGGCTTCTCAGATATCCTCCTGAGCGGCGCCACCATGTGGCCACTTTCCCAGCATCTTCTGATGCCACCTTTCCTCTGTCCAGGCCTGATTGTCTTTTGCCTAGGGCCACCAGAGCCTCAAAAAGTGACACCCAAAGTTACAGCCAGCTCGTATTTCTGAGGGCTTTACAAATCTCTTCTCTCATTTGACTCTTACCACAGCCCTGGGAGACAGGTGCTCTTTAGAGGGAACTGAGATATAAGTGATTTGCCTTGGGGTCATAAAACCAGCATATGACTGGGGATTTGAGTTCAGGTCTTGACTCCGTGCCTCCTAGTTGCTTATCACCTTATCTAACTATCTGCCCATCCACTTCAATTCACTAGATTTAGAACTGAAAGGAACCTTGGGTTATCCAGCCCAATCCCTTCACTTTACCTGCTAGGAAACTGAGGACAAAGTGAAGTAACTTGCCCAAGGTCATGCAGCAAAGTTAGAATTCTAACCCAGATCTTCTGACCCAAAACCCAGTGTTCTTTCTACTGTACTCGGCTGTGGGGCAGCTAGGTGGTACAGTGGATAGAGCACCAGCCCTGGAGTCAGGAAGACCTGAGTTCAAATCTAGCTTCAGATACATAATATTCATTAGCTGTGTGACTAGGCAACTCACTTAACCCCAATTGCCTCACAAAAAAAAACAAAAACCCAATACCAAGCTACCTGTCATCCCTACAGCTCAAAAGAAGTCTCTGACTTTCCCCTAAGCATTCCAAACTCCCAGGCTACCTCAAGCTCTTCTTAGACCCTCCTCTTCCTCCACCCCATCCAAGAACTCCAGGAGATCTTGGTTCAGATTCCACCTCTGAGACTTAATAGTTCTTTGACCAAGGGCTAACCATTTCTCCTTCCTCTGCCTCGTTTTCTACATCTATAAAATGAGGGTAATAATACTTGTCTTACCGGCTTCACAGGCTTCTTGTGAGGAAAGCATTTTGTAAACTTTTAAGGATTAACTAGGGAGCTATAATCATGCCACCCCCTTCAAAGCCATAACCATCTGATTTAAACAGATCTCTTTTCATCTGATCCCATTTGTACAACTTCTACGTCTTTTTTTTTTTAAGGTTACTGACCTGAAATTCCTCCTTCCCATTTTCACCCCATCAAGGGCCTTCTGACATAATAATATTTCTTAAAGCCTACCTCAGCCTGGAATTCTGGGCACTCCTAGA